GATTACACCAGTGGTTAAATGTTTTACTCGTAGAGTATTGACCTTTCCTCTCCGTTTTACTTAAGAACCTGGTAACATTTGGGGACCTACTTACACAAGAAACACCTCCTCCATCTCTCTGAACTGGACCCAACCTCCTGGTGAGGTGCTCCTGTACAGGGTGGAGTGGGATCATGGTGGAGCAAAGACGATCAGAGACACCAACAACCTCTTTGCTGTGCTATCAGACCTGATCCCTGGCACTAGCTACAACATCTTAATTATTGCTGTTGCTGGAGACAATAAGACAACAGGAGATCCTCACCAGCTCACCATAGTCACAAGTAACCATAAGTTTCATTTTTGTAATAGCTTGGTGTAGCTTTTTGGATAAGAAACTGTTCTCTGCTGTAATGAAACACTTTTGTGTAGTCTTTGTTCTTGTCATTTTCACTAGTTCTTTATTTGTCTGTCTCTAAACATTTTCTTTCCTCACCTCGTATTTATCCTGCGCTCACAGAGCCTGAAGTAGTCAGGAATCTCTCTGTCACTGATATCACAACATCCTCTATATCTGTGATGTGGAATGAACCAGAGGGGAACAGCTCTTCCTATAGAGTAGAGTGGAGTGATGGAAATGTCACTAAAAGTGAAAACGTGACTGAAACACAAATAACCATTTCTAACCTGACTGCTGGTGTCCAGTATGATATAAATGTCACTGCAGTGGCAGGTGATGGCAGTACTGAAGGACAGAGTACCACTGTTTCTCATTACACCAGTAAGTAAACATTCACTGAATTTCATGAAGTCAGATAGAGAGAGTCTGCTGAAGACATCTGTTGTTGAAGACTGTCCGCAGTGATCACAAGCAGGATGATACTTGTGAATATAGAAAAGAAGTTTTTGCCTAATTTGCTGTTCGTCCTTAGACTGATGTTGATCCTCAGGCACAACACGATTACACCAAGTATTAAAGTTTTACTCAAAGAGTATTGACCTCTCCTTTCCTTTTCCCTTTTTAACACAAGTTGTATTGCACTTAATAGCTTTGTTTAGCTTTTTGGTTAAGCAACTATGGTCTCGTGTCATGAAACACACTCTGGTGTAGTTTTTGTTCTAACCACTCGCTGTCGTTTTGTATTCCCTGAAACTTTTTTACCAACTCAACATATTCAGAAGTAAACCACACCCTCCGTATTTCCCAGTTCTAATTTTTTAAATCACAATTTTCATCAATGAAGATTTCATCCATTTTCAGATGCCTAATTTTTCCTAATATGTCACATTTTCCCCTGTTTTTCTTTGCACTTGCAGAACCTGCTGGTGTCAAAAATCTCTCCATCATTGCAGTCACAAATTCATCTGTGTCTCTGATCTGGAAACAACCCAAGGGCAATGTGTCCTCATACTCAGTTCAGTGGAATGCAATAGGAGAAACCGTAACCCTTAATAATACCACTATTGAAACCAACTTTACTATCAACAATTTAACCCCTGGAGTCCAATACAACATTCTAGTGGCTGCTGTTGCTGGAAAATCCTCAAATAAAGGAGTCGGAACCTCAATAAGTACCTTCACAAGTAGGTCCATGCCTTTTGAAGATCCCTTTTTCCTGCTACTTTTGGAAAGCGTATTTGCACTAGCATGAAGTTGATGTAAATGCAGTAATGTAGTTGTGAAACAATGAGTTATTCTTTTAGAAGACATATTCCATATCCTAAAAATTGTTGGCTTACAATAATGTCATTCATATGTTTTCACGCCAGCCTCCCCTTTGGTTCCCACATTAGTAGTTATAGCTGTTGCCTCTTTTAACATTCATCTGCTTACACATACCAAAAAGTTGATTAATTAATTATTGACATATTACCATGTACTAATAAGGAAAGTGTGTTGCTATGATATTTAACTTGATATCGCATTGGATTTGGGAGAAATATTGTTCATAAAGGGACCATTCTAAACACTAGGTTAATAAGAAATATAGTATACAGTATTTTTATATAGTACATGGTCTATGGATTACTAAGATATATTGATGTTGTAATATTTGATGTATTTTATTGGTCAATACATATTACATTGGTGGTTCCTACTTGTACGCTATTTCAAATTCACTACATGACTAGATATGTGTTTCTTTCATAATGCAATGACAGGGAACTAAACTTTTTTACTTGTTTATCGTACAGGGCCTGAAAAGCCTGAGAACATCAAGATTACTGCACGAGGAACCAGTGACCTGACCATCGAGTGGACTTTACCTTCAGGGATTGCTGATCACTATGTGGTGAACATCTCAAATCAAAATGATTCTAATAGCACCACAACAGCGGGCAAAGAAGCAAACTTTACTGATTTATTCCCTGGGAGACTGTATGATATCAAAGTGACCGCTGTAGCTGGAAACTTCAGCGAGACGTCTGAGCAGTCTTCATTTGCCACTAGTAAGATTATTATTATCATTGTAATAATGTTTTGCAAGTGGGTTTATTTTTTAGTTAGGGTTCAAACCATCAAAACCAGTACGACATGTATTACAACAGAAACAAAAGCATTAAGTGTGCGTCTACCTGTTTTTCATTTCTCTTAGAGCCCACACCTCCTGGATCCATCATCATCAGTCAGAGGACAAACTCGCTCTTTTTGAGGTGGGATACTCCTGTTTTGATGGATGGAGCTCCACACATCAGCTATAACATATCCTATCAGCATGATGGTGGAGAGGCACTGAATAAAATCTCCTCAAACACCCACACCGTGCTGACCTCACTTCTCTCTGGAAAGTCCTACAATATAACTGTACAAACAGTTGGACCCCAGAGTTTAAAGAGCACGGCTGTCCAAAATACTTCTTTCACCTGTAAGTTTACTAGAAGTGTCTCTAAAGTTGGGACTGATTAAAGTCATGTTGTAGATTTGGCAATATTAGTAAAATAAGATTTTATACACCTTCAGTAAGAATGTTGCTAGATATGAAATAACATATATAGTTATTATATCAGAAGTGACATAAGTATTTTGTGATTCAATTGATTTCTAGTGAACATTTCCTTTGTTTGTAATTTTTCTAGTGCCCAACCCTGTGTTGAACCTTGAAGCGAGCCCTAAATCCACCACCTCAGTAAAAGTGTCATGGTCACAACCACAGGAAGCCTGGTCGTATTATGAATACTTGGTTCAAGCCTACAAGACTACAGGAGAACTGGTGTTCAACATAACAGTCAGCAATAACAGTGCAGATGTAACATCTCTGGAGCCAGGGAATAGATACAATATCAATGTCACGACTATAGCAGCAGCAGGGAGTGAATCCACGGCAGAACAGACATTCAGTTACACCAGTAAGGCCTTTCATTAAAACACAATGAAGCATTAATGGATTCTGTACTATCAGAAACATCCTACTGTATATACTCAAATTGATGGTACATTTAAAATACCCCTTTTATATTGTGGATTCAAGCCTTATATAACATTCTTCTGTATTTGCTGCAGTGCCGAAAGCAGTGTTGAATCTCACAGTGGAGTATGTGAACACAACGGCCATCCGGCTGACATGGCGTGGACAAAGCGATCACAAGCCTACCTACTCCTACCTGGTGATAGCGCTGCAGAACACCAGGATGGTGCAGAATTCTTCAATCTACAATGAGTCGTTCACATTCTGCAATCTGAACCCTGGAGAATTGTACAGTTTTGATGTCTTTACGGTGGTAGAAGGGGTCAAGTCCAGAGTGGAAAGCATATCAAGTTACACAAGTATGTGATTACAGTTACTGAAAAGTGTGTATGTATATATACAGTATATAACATTGTTGGTGGCTAAAGAGATGCATTTGATTAATAAAAATAGAAATGAGTTACACCATCCAAAAGAGTTATACACACTCATGTATTTACTGGTCAATGTCCCACTGGCAGACTCGTTTCTATATAGCTAATAATTGAAAGTGTAATAATTTTGGACCATAAAAAATGTGGACGTTTCTGGCCATCACCTTAACTCCCCAGAATTAATTCTGTCAAATTTGTTTAAAATACACATTTTTTATTGTACAATAAATAATTGTCTTCCAATTTCTCAGTGATGACCCAACCCTATACATTCCTCTGGTCAATTGAATGTGTTCAGGCAAGGCCCAAACTTTTCAAATTGTATATTACATAACATTTACATTTTTTTTTCAGGGCCTGAAACAGTTTCTGGCATCATAGCGTTAGGAAATACAACAACAATGTCAGTGAGTTGGACACTAGCATTTGGACAGGTGGACTCCTACACCGTCCAGCTGCAAAAAGACTGGGAGCTGGAGAGAAACAAAACAGATCTGAGCAACAACACTGGGGAAGTAATGTTTCAGGATTTGACACCAGGAGTGCTTTACTGTGTGATTGTGGTCACCAAAAGTGGACCTTTTCAAAGCAACTTGTCTTATTGCAACGCAACTTGTGAGTTACATTGTTTATTCAAATCTGCATACTACATGTGTAATATATATGTACTGTATGTATCTTGACCAATGTTTATTTTATAAATGCCTTAAATCAAGCAATAATAAAATAGTTTCCCTCTCTTCTTTTGTTCAGTTCCCAACCCTCCAGGCCCCATCACGGTGGTCAATCAAACTGAGACGTCCATCAAATTCACCTGGCCCCCTCCAGAGAAGATGGACTATAATCAGTTCACCTTCAGTGTTTCCAACTTTTTGCACTCCTCTCTCGTTACACACAACTGGTTTCTGCTGGACAGGCTCCAGTCTGGAAGCCCCTACAGTATTACTGTTGTTACTGTGGGTGTGTTAAACTATACGAGCACTGCAGTGACAACGGAAAACTATACCAGTGAGTGCCAGGGTTATTGTTTTTTATTATGTATTACTACTAATTTCTTTTTTCATGTGAGTTTATGTATTCACCTATTTGTACATTTTATGTTTGAGTTCTGTTTACCAGTATGCATTTTCTGGTTTTGTTTTTCATTTTTATTATTTTTGGAATATAGTGAGAGGGACAAGTTCTAAAAAACATTTTTTTTTTTTATGTTTGCATCCAGTATCATTTAAAAAAAATGGTCAAGCTTTTTAAAATAACTCTAAACTTAGTGATACTCAGTTATACTTGCTTTGTGAACATTTAACAATTTTTCTTAATCAGTATAAATAAAAAATGCCAAATATTTATAATAGTGAACACTACTACATTTCACTAGGAACTACTTTAATCTTAGTTATATCTGTCACAATAACAGTTAATGCTCAATACATATTAAGCTATATGTGCTTAACCCAAAATCTGACATGCATAAACACATAAACCTGTTCACGTCTTTTTCTCAGGACCATATTCTGTCGCCAACCTGAGAGAGACAGAAATCACCACAGAGTCAGTGACCCTGGAGTGGAAACAGCCAGCAGACAAAAACTACTCATATGTGGTTCAGACCAGCAATGGCTCCTTCTATCCCCCTGCAGTCACACACAAACACAACAAAACAATCCATGGACTTCTCTCTGGGAGCAACTACAGCTTCACTGTAACCACACAGACAGCAGATGGCACTGAGGCAGCTCCTATGGCAGTGTCCTACTTTACACGTATGTATATGTACTGTCAAACCCCAAAATATACGAGCAAAACAACTAAAGTAAATAACAATTAAACTGTTGATGTGCTTTTTTAAAGATTTATCAGAAACACTTTCTGTTTGCAGGTCCCTACAGAATTGGGCAGTTGGAAGCTGACACCTTAAACTCAACTGCTGTACGTCTGGTTTGGACTAAGCCACCAGAGTATAAGTCTGAATACAGGTATCGGGTCGAGTATGCAGGATTTGTATATAAATCCAAAAACAAATCCTCCGAACAAAATGACATAGAGATCTCGGGGCTCATTGCCGGGACCAACTACACCTTCTGTGTTTTTGTCATGGCAGCAAATGGCATAGAAGGGGAAGACAGATGCATTTCCAAGTGCACAAGTATGATCATAACAGTTTAACTTTACATTGAATAAATGAAAACACATATTTAGAAAATCATATTTGTAATAATTTGATGTTATTCTGACAATAATGTCCTATTTATGCTGCAGATGCAAGCCCGGTGAAAGATTTGAAGTGTGAAGGTCCGAACACAAAAAAGGCAGAACTCATCCTGAAGTGGGACAAACCCAATGGCCAATACTCTGGCTTCAAAGTCACGTATAATGGCAATATCACCTCGACTAAAAACTGTTGTGAACATACTGTGACCAACCTTCTTCATTATACTAAATACAATCTGACAATGGAGACTCAGAGCTGTGGACTACCCAGCACTCCTCGGAATACTCAATGCTGGACAGGCATCACAAGTACGACATTATGCTTCATTAACTAGAATTCCATAACTGTTCCATGAATTATTCAATATATATTTGATTAAAATCCTTTTTGTCCCCCCAAAGATCCATCTATTCCAGCTAACTTCAAGTTGCTGGTGAATGTGGGTTCCACGTTATTCAGCACGTTCACCCTTCAGATTGACCAAAGCCTGCTGGACAACACCAATGGGCCAATCACACATGTTGGGGTGCTGGTGACAAATGACCTCAAAAGTAGTAGTTTCTTTTTCATTTATTCAAATAATACATCATGTCCAAAATGACCAATTGTATATCAACAACTCACCTTATGTTACTTTGGATTTGTGAAGAACACTTCGTTGTCCTTGTGTTTCAGCGGGAAATCAATGGAAAAGTTTGTTTCACAGTGGATTAATGCAAGCAAACCATTTTCTCTTCCCAAATGTAACATAACACAGGATGAGTAATTGAAATGTCAAATGTGTATTTAGTCCTCTAATTATGTTGCGCTTTCATCATCAATTGGTGCTAATGTGACCATTTCTGGAAGTATTTACTGCTGTTTGTCTTTATTTGTTACCATGAAACAATAAATACCAACTACTGTAATTCCTGCCCTAACAGGTGACACAGCTAATTGGACCCAGGGCTTGAGAAAGACTTATAGTGAGTGGAAAGCAAAGCCTACATCTGTGTACCTGGCAACGGTCACAGAAATCCACTCCCAAAAACGCAGTGGAGAAAGCCATTTCAACATAGCGGTGGGAGATGAATCCAAATGGAATGGCTACACTAATGGTGCTTTGGATGCCAATGGAAAATACCAGTAAGAACACAAACAATATTGTATATGAATAGGTATGCAGAAGTACAAAGTAGTTACTCTTGATGAAACAATAGTACATTATTGGTATATTAGGAAAAGGAATTGTGAACATTAGTATATCGATTAACTGATTTGTTCAATCCTGCAGATATGCCATTGTGTTGTTCACCCATCTGGTCATGGAAAACGACCTTGTCCTAAACGGTGCATCACTGATGACAATAGCCCATCCCTATCCTGTTGTTATACTTCCACAGAACCCAGGTACCACATTCAGAACACGTGTTGTTATAAAATGCTCCCACGAGGTGAGAAAACTCTCCCTTACCTCTTTGTTTGTCTTTTTGTTCTCATCTCTGTCAACATTTTAGCAATCATTGGCATTGCTGTCGGAGTAACATTGGGAATCTTTTGCGTTCTCTTCATCATCCTAATCGGCTTCATAGTCTATTGGAAAAGGTTTGTCATTGTCCTAATTTGTAAAAAAGATATTGAGTCTGTGTGTTTTGGACTCAACTTTTAACTCGCAACACGTGTATTACAGGGTTTCCAACAAAGAAGCATCAGACATCCAGATATTTTCCATGAGGTAAGGTTTTCATTTTTACCATGTTGTTATAAGTTTAAAGTAAATGGACAACAATTGCTTCTTTAACAGTCAACATTGCTTCTTCCTCTTTCTTATTTCAGAGCCAAAGTGTAAGTATAAATCCTTTTAAATTATTAAGTATGTTTAGTTCTTTAAACTTTTCTAATTTTGACACAAAATGAAGACACAGTGGTCTGACCTCTCGTCTCCATTTGAGCAGCAGTTTGGCTGTGAGGGTGGAGGACTTTGAGGCCTACTACAAGAAGCAGAAGGCCGACTCCAACTGTGGCTTTGCTGAAGAATTTGAGGTGAAACATGAGCCTAATATATTGATTTGTTCTTTTGGTGCCAGGCATGCACCCTAGTTTGAGTCATCAAATCATCTTTCCTTATTCTTTTTTTCATCCAAAAGGACCTGAAGATGGTTGGTACAGTTCAGTTGAAAACTAACGCTGAGAGATTGGAGAACAAGCCCAAGAACCGCTACGCTAACGTGCTTCCCTGTGAGTCTCCTTAACAAATCCACCTCTGCTGCTTTCAACAATAACACTCCTCACTCTTTCAACTACGTCATAGCCTATCACCTGTATCCAGTGCTATCCACCGTCATGATCCCATTTTTAATTGGACATAACATCCATATAATCAGACACATATCAGTGCGGCCTACCTTCATATAGCAAACGTATCTTTTCATTTACGCTCTTTTTTCACCTCCCAGATGACTCCTCTAGGGTGAAACTCTCTATCATCCATGGGAGTCCATATGATGACTACATCAATGCTAACTACATGCCGGTGCGTACTGACACTTAAAAACAGCTCTCTGCCTGAGTCATGGCTTCAGTATCAGTTAACATCCTGATCATCATCCTTCTTCTTAATGGCATGCTATCCAACTTTATCTGCAGTGATGTTTTGAGCTCTTTGAGGCTCTCAACTGAACAGGACGGATGTTTGTGTTGTGTGTGTGGGGCTGATGTTTTGTTTGACAGGGTTACAACTCTAGGAAGGAGTTTATCGCAGCTCAGGGTCCTTTGCCCGGCACAGTCAACGATTTCTGGAGGATGATCTGGGAGAAGAACGTACGGAGTCTGGTCATGCTGACACGCTGTAATGAACAGGGACGAGTGAGTTTGAACACAAGCACAACGCCGCAAAGCAACGAGAATGTTAAAACTAAAACATGCAGTAGATATGATTTGCATATTTTAGAAATATAATTATAAGGTTTTAAACTTAAAATGTAAGTTGATTGTTTATATTGTGTTTTCCTGTTCCAGGTAAAATGCGAGCAGTATTGGGCTCAGGGCACCAAGCACTTTGAAAACATCACTGTGACAACAACCTCTGAAATAGCGCTTGAAGACTGGACCATCAGGGACTTTGACGTTAAAAATGTAAGTGGTGAGATGTTAAATATTCCAAATATATATATTTTTAGGAGGGTCAAATTCAAACAATCTTTGTCGTTGAATCATCACCCATCAGGGCTGTTTTCCCACCTTTAGTTTGGAATACTTGCATATCACTTCTATGAGTGAACATAACACTCTACTGAACACTTTTAAAAGAATGAGTCTGAAGGCACAAGTTCTGTGCTCCAGTTACATTCTGAGGCAGGGCCTTATAATTGTGAAAAAGCCTTTCTCTGCATCACAGCCAGTAAGCCAGTCGCAACCATTTTGGGTTTGTTCTTCCTGTAGGTAAAAACAGCAGAGACCCGTTCAGTGCGTCACTTCCACTTCACAGCCTGGCCAGATCATGGCGTACCGCAAACCACTGAGCTCCTCATCAGCTTCAGACACTTGGTCAGAGAACACATGGACCAATTTTCCAGGCACTCTCCCACTGTGGTCCACTGCAGGTCCGACTGAACACTCAAACAAAAATTTAATTCTGCACAATTGAAATGACAAAAAGATCTGATATTTGTCTGTCTTTTCTCTTTCCCTCTACTTTGTGTCTTTGTTTTCTACATTCAGTGCTGGTGTCGGAAGAACTGGCACCTTCATAGCCATCGACCATTTGATGTTCCAGATTGAAAGGGAAAATATTGTGGATGTTTTCGGCATCGTCTATGATCTCCGCATGCACCGACCCCTTATGGTGCAGACAGAGGTAAGACAAAGTCTCACAGTTTTAATTGTTTTTGTTTCACGGTGCATGTTGTTTGAAATATATGTAAAGTATACGAAGTGTGCCGTATTTCAGTCTTTTTTAAATTGGGTGTCTCTGCAGGACCAGTATGTGTTCTTAAACCAGTGTGCCATCGACATCATCAGATCAAGAACTGGAACCAATGTGGATCTAATCTACCAAAACGCTGCTGCACTCTCTATTTATGAGAATGTAGAACCAAAAAAAGATTTCTCCAAAAGCGAGTACAGCAATGCATAAACCCGAGAAAACCACTCAGGTCCTCCTATATTCTCTCAAGCTTTAAAAAATCTGTAGGCTTTTGCAAAGAGAACATTTTTAACAAATTGGGGTGCATTTCTATTTTTATTCTTGCCAGGCTTTTGATAAGTATCTTGTATCTTTTTAGATTCAACCCTCTATTTTGTGGTATTTATTTGTTGCAAATGTTGAATGATTGATAATAGAGGGAGCTGCATATGGAGATACAATAGGGGACATCATCACTGACCAAAAGGAAATTGGATTATATGTCAATTGGATTGTCTCTGATAAAGGCAGATTTTTGTATTGCTCAGTCTTTCTTTACATTTCTGCTTGTTTACTACTGTATATGACTAACTGATTATACAATTTTCTTCTCAGGTAATATATTGTATATAGGTATTATTACAGTTTTTGCCAGGAACGCTTGTATTATCGGAACTTTGTATTGCCTTGTACGAAGAATTGCTGGTTCGAATAATATGTGCCTTTTCAAAGCCTGTATGCTTTGGTGCCAGTAGGTGGCACTCCATTGTATTGTGTTAAACTGAAAGAGACAAACAGGGACTGATAAGATATTACTTAGTTAAAGGAACCTTTAGGTTAAGACAAACAATATATCATATTTGATAGAAGTATCAGGTTATCCAGCAAATAATTGTAGCTTGCCTTATTCCAATTCAAACTGTGCAATGCCTTTTAATGAAGGAATGTTGTATGTTCAATGTAAAGACTTTTCTTTGTCTATGCACTGTAGTTAGTAATGCACTGGATGCATTAGTCTTTTGTACACTGTCGAATTTACTAATTATAAAGATGTATTTATCCGTTATCAGTCTCATAGATAACATTTTGGCCAGTTGTTTGTGAAACATTCATTCGCCCCACATTTGATTGTTGCAATTTGACTTTGATTTTTGTTTTCTTCATCTGATCAGAATAGGTTTGCATTAAAAAAGCGCTCAGGAGAATTTTGCTGGGGTGGTATGGTGTGAGAAAATCCATACTGCCACAGTTTGTAGTTTAAAGAATTTAGAAGTCATCGTACTGATTTTGTTTTGTTAATGACATTCTTCTCTGTACATTCCTCAAAGAAACAACCATGTTATGTCACTTCCTGCTGTATATCCGGCCTGTCTATGGCCATTTCCTGTGATTTAAAAATCACCATAGGAGTTTTGTTTTTACTTTTTAGCTTTTCAAGGGCAGCATTTGCTATTAGGCAGGTACATTGGTGTGTGGGGTCAGCTTTATGATATATTTTTTTAATTAAATGTTTCATTTGTATTGTATTATAATGTACTTAATGTTTAAAAGCACTTAATGAAAAAAGAATAGCAAATAGTTTCATAATTGTAGCAATGTTTTTGGAATGCTTTATAAAATGCTTGCTGGTACAATGCAAATACATGTAAAAAAAGCAATGATTTAATATTTGTAAACATGTCAATAAAAAATGAACCAAAATGGGTTAATCTATGTTATTACATTCCAACGTATGGCTATGTGTCTGCATGGTTTAAATTAACCTTATACAGTGGGGCAAAAAAGTATTTAGTCAGCCACCAATTGTGCAAGTTCTCCAACTTAAAAAGATGAGAGAGGCCTGTAATTTTCATCCTAGGTATACCTCAACTATGAGAGACAAAATGAGAAAAAAAATCCAGAAAATCACATTGTCTGATTTTTAAAGAATTTATTTGCAAATTATGGTGGAAAATAAATATTTGGTCAATAACAAAAGTTAATCTCAATACTTTGTTATATACCCTTTGTTGGCAATGACAGAGGTCAAACGTTTTCTGTAAGTCTTCAAAAGGTTTTCACACACAGTTGCTGGAATTTTGGCCCATTCCTCCATGCAGATCTCCTCTAGAGCAGTGATGTTTTGGGGCTGTCGCTGGGCAACACAGACTTTCAACTCCCTCCAAAGATTTTCTATGGGGTTGAGATCTGGAGACTGGCTAGGCCACTCCAGGACCTTGAAATGCTTCTTACGAAGCCACTCCTTCGTTGCCCGGGCGGTGTGTTTGGGATCATTGTCATGCTGAAAGACCCAGCCACGTTTCATCTTCAATGCCCTTGCTGATGGAAGGAGGTTGTCACTCAAAATCTCACGATACATGGCCCCATTCATTCTTTCCTTTACACGGATCAGTCGTCCTGGTCCCTTTGCAGAAAAACAGCCCCAAAGCATGATGATTCCACCCCCATGTTTCACAGTAGGTATGGTGTTCTTTGGATGCAACTCAGCATTCCTTCTCCTCCAAACACGTCTAGTTGAGTTTTTACCAAAAAGTTCTATTTTGGTTTCATCTGACCATATGACATTCTCCCAATCCTCTTCTGGATCATCTAAATGCTCTCTAGCAAACTTCAGACGGGCCTGGACATGTACTGGCTTAAGCAGGGGGACACGTCTGGCACTGCAGGATTTAAGTCCCTGGCGGCGTAGTGTGTTACTGATGGTAGCCTTTGTTACTTTGGTCCCAGCTCTCTGCAGGTCATTGACTAGGTCCCCCCGTGTGGTTCCGGGATTTTTGCTCACCGTTCTTGTGATCATTTTGACCCCACGGGGTGAGATCTTGCGTGGAGCCCCAGATCGAGGGAGATTATCAGTGGTCTTGTATGTCTTCCATTTTCTAATGATTGCTCCCACAGTTGATTTCTTCACACCAAGCTGCTTACCTATTGCAGATTCAGTCTTCCCAGCCTGGTGCAGGTCTACAATTTTGTTTCTGGTGTCCTTTGACAGCTCTTTGGTCTTGGCCATAGTGGAGTTTGGAGTGTGACTTTTTGAGGTTGTGGACAGGTGTCTTTTATACTGATAACGAGTTAAAACAGGTGCCATTAATACAGTTAACAAGTGGAGGACAGAGGAGGCTCTTAAAGAAGAAGTTACAGGTCTGCGAGAGCCAGAAATCTTGTTTGTTTGTAGGTGACCAAATACTTATTTTCCACCATAATTTGCAAATAAATTCTTTAAAAATCAGACAATGAGATTTTCTGGATTTTCTTTTCTCATTTTGTCTAGTTGAGGTATACATAGGATGAAAATTACAGGCCTCTCTCATCTTTTTAAGTGGGAGAACTTGCACAATTGGTGGCTGACTAAATACTTTTTTGCCCCACTGTTTCATCACAAAGAACAAGCTTTTTACACTAAGACTTCAAAAAGTTCTAATTTTGCAGCTCACATCAGGTGTACACTCGGGGGATTCTCTGCAATATGGACGTGTTTTAACCCTTATGTTGTGTTCGGGTCTCCCGTGACCCGTTTCAAGATAAAATTATATAATAACTACGCTATAGTTTTTTTTAACGGTTCCGTTAAAAAAAACTATAGCGTAGTTATTATATAATTTTATCTTGAAACGGGTCACGGGAGACCCGAACACAACATAAGGGTTAAAACACGTCCATATTGCNCCTCCGCTTCTACAGCATTCGCTTGATTTTCTAGTCTCTTTGTTAATGTCCCCCAAATCTTGATGTTTTCTTTGCAATTGAAAACGAATAATTCGCCTTCGTGTTTGTTCTTCGTTGCCAGTATGTATATGATCTTAGTGTATCTTGAGGCTTGGCTTCCTATTTATGCGACTCGCTTCTCATCTTTGCCGCGCGAGCCTAGCGCCCTGTTGACAGGAGTTCGTTGTTGGCTATTGGACCAGTGAGATGGAAGATATTCAACGGAGACAGTCATATCCATAATTCGTTGGAGAAAGTAACAACTAAGTTCCTATGGTTAAAGATTGTTAGCACAACAACTCCCCACAATTTATCCACCCGAACGCAGGCACAATTCTCTCACGAATAGATTACTTCTGGAGCTTTTCATACCATTAAACATTTGATAAAAAACACAAAACGCCAAACTGCGCCCAACGAATATCCAAATAAGGAAACTTGCACCCGACTCAAGATTATACCAACACAGATCACGGGGTACAGACCTAGTAATGTACTCCTCTAACTATCATATCTAGTAGAACAGGCGCTGAAGCAGTTATGTGAGATGTGAACATGCAAGCGGAGTACTACTGAGATTATCGTTGTGGTTCCTTATCACGACATAACTGCCAGAAAACACCCAGATGTTTCTGCTGTTTTTTCCTGATGATAAAGCAGTCGCTTACGATTGTGACCGCTTATCCCCGGTATACACGCTAGTCAGCGCCCCCTAGTTACACCAATCAGCGTGCGATTACCGTATAGCCAATCACCATGCGTGACGTCATTGGTAAGCGACGGACCCCGAACACATATGGTAGGCCGAACACATAGGGTACTGAGACCGGTCTCGGCTAAAATCTACTCGTGTATTTTCGGAAACCACGTGATGAATGGCCTGCTGATGACAACATTTCCGCATGGTTTTCAAAGTAAGAGCATGATGGTTTGTTTAATGCGCTGTTTTTTTTATGAACAGCGGAACGTTAGATGCATTCTTTGTCACCATCATCATCATGTTATAGTGATCACATTTTACCACACAAATTATTTTTATGTTCACACAAATAATTATGAGACATATCTAAGCCCATACAGTACAAGCTCTAGCCAATCAAACCGCTGCTTGTGTGTTAGGGGCGGGAGATTCATGTGACCAAAGCCGCTGTGGATGGACGTACCATAAATTGGGAGTGGAAAACGGCTGTACAGCACAGCACTTTCAAGCTGATATAGCTAAACGTTAGCTTTGTTAGTGTTTACTGGCCTCAGGCCTAGGGGTACCTGGGGCAGCAGCAGACTCTACTCTGTATATGATAAACACACGAGGCACGAAGAATCGTCGTAGCTTGTCTTTTGTAGCTCAACTGCAGGATTTTAATCTGCTCATTTGGAAACAATCGCAGCCCCAAATAAGCATTATCCCATTGCTTCATTTTCACTGAGGCAGCAACAGCGCAGAGAGACCAAGTAACGGCAGAACAGCATCACGATACAACGATGACTGCGATGGAGTGGTACAACAGAAATGTACAACCTNTGACAATTTTAGCCAAGTCTGAAGGTCTCAAAAAAAAAAGACCCAGCAGAATTGTTGTGGGTGACTCAAGGTCAAAATTGTCCCAAACAAGATTCATCTTTGACTTTAGACACCCCACCCCCACCCCCTTCATCCACTGTTACAATAATTAAAACATTTTTTTGGGGAGATTGTATTCATTAGTCTATTATAGTCAGATAACGTAATGATCCACTATCTTCACTATAGGAAATATCACGAGTGAATTGAATAACATAAATATGTGGTGTAATATTTTTTCGGGCCATAAAATTACAACAGGATAGTACGGTTATGAATGCACAATATGTTAGTTGTGATGTAGTTAAAACAATATTGGATGATAGTCATTATTTTTGAGTGTTTTGGACTGAGATAAATCATGGGTCAAAATTGACCCGCGAACACCATGAACGGTAACAGCTTTCGAACACAACACAAGGGTTAAGGGCAATCACTTTCACACAGAGTGTCGGCTTCAATGAGCCTGATATTTCTAACTCATCATCCTTGTACCATGTCTCTCAGAAGATCTAAAAATAGATGTGGCATTTGAATGGCTTCTATTCTCCTATGCTGTGTGTTGCAATAAAAGGTATACAGACAGATGAAGCGGTTATAACGGCAATACAACCTGGGAATACAAAATCCAATAGAACAAGATAACTGGGGGGTCCAAAAGGAATAATGAGTTTAAATGTTTTTGTGCCAGACAGTAAATCCACCATATTGGATTACAACAGCTTCCGATTGAGGCGTTAATAGTTTATGGTGTTGTTGCTGCCTTTAAAAACACACAATCACACAGATGAAGAGGGTCTTTTCTTGACACTACACGTTGTAAATGCTTGCGATTTCCCTTTGAATAATAACGGTAACATTTATTATAATAATTAAGTATGTATGAGGAGGTTTTGGCTTGGCGTGGTAGGTACACAGTAAATAGTATAATTCGAGGGAAATTGTGTTTTTTAAGTATGTCAACTCACGGTACACTTAAAATGCTCCTTTCCATGAAGAAAAAATATTGTTCTGATCACACACTTCATATGTCTGACAGTTATAGTTGGTCAATTCTTAGAATTATTTTTATTTTTATTTAAAACATGATCAGCTAATAAAGTGTCATGCATTATTGTAAGAAACCGAATCACCAGAATTTAACACATAACAAACGAAATTGTTTCCTAAAATTACATTACAGTGAAATGCTTTAATATAAAAAACGGTTGACATTAGTATTAAAAATGGTAAAATGCTAGTTATGTAAATTCATTAGTAGCTTAATGATAATCATATAACATTACAACACTGGCAGTGTGCTGCCTAATGGGTATGTAAAATGTTAATACTTTACCTTAGGAATAAGAAGAAAAGAAAGAGAAGACATTTTGCTGATAATACTTAATAATACTTAATTTCAATCATTTTTACTTGTAATGTA